GCCGACAACACCCCGACTTCGCAGGAGAACGGCGGCCTCTACCTCAAATCAGACTCTCAAGGTCGGGATGGAGAAGATGGTCTGAAGGAGCGGAGACCATACGATGTAATCAGCCGCCACCTGGACATGTACACGGGAGCAAAACCCCCTGGAGCCTCCCTCCTGGACACCTACCTGCAGATGATGCGCGCCTCTGGGATGGACCTCTCAACACCTTCCGCGGATAGCATACTGGATGAGAGAAAACTATTGCATTCTCGCCCCATGGGCGGCGGTGTGCTAGACCTCACCCGACCTGACTTGATAAGGAGCAGCACATCCCCGCGCGACGATGACAACGGTGGTCCAGCATCAGATGATTTTAGCGAGGATGAATTTGGTAGTATGCCCACGGATGGTCGGGGGGCCCGGCAACTGAGTGGCGGGGCCACAGTAGTGACAGTGACGCCCCGCTCTCCAGAGCCTTCTGACCCTGAGGATGATGCAAAATGGACAGTGCAGTAGTGACTCATCACACAGCCGTGCAGCGGCACACAGCAATCACAGCAGTGGTACAAATTACACAGTGGATGCAACAAAGACTAGAGTATGGGTTAGTGTGACTCAGTGCCTGTGGGGGCTCACCCCTGCCGCCCGTGAGCCGCCCTCAACCACGCCCAGCTATTTTTACCTAATTCCTTTAATCATCACACCTTCAAGTTTATCTGTAAAATATATCTTTACTTCCTGAATGAAATGAATTTAAAAGACAGATGACGAAGTTATCTCTGTTGTTTGACGATAGTACCGCGTTGTGATACTTGGTGACCGGCTGGTCCCCCTTTGTGTCATCCTGGTGTGAGCAGCAGGAGCAACACTCCGTGTCATCCTGGTGTGAGCAGCAGAAACAACACGTGTCATCCCGGTGTGAGTAGCAGGAACACGCCTCCTCCGGGCATAGTTGAGAGCGGCACACGTCTCTAGTAGTTGTCAGTTCTCAGGGACACGTCGGGCTTCACTCCCTCCTGTACGTACTCTCTCACTCAGGCCGGCGGTGATGCAGGTACTGGCCTTCTACCAGGTGCTGGCCCACACGCCAGGTGCTGGTCCAGGCACCAGGTGTTGGCCCACACACCCACGCCATGTGCTGGCCTACACGCCCACACCACACTCGTGCACACATGCACCAGGAATATGTGCACCTTACAGACTTATGCAGCCACCTCTATGTTATGGTTAACTAGTTGGTGCCCTCTTTTGGTGCTCTTATTTTGGATTAAGATTTTTAACGAAGAAGCTTGATGTAAAATGAATTTATGTTAACTTATGCTCTCTAAGCTGGCAGAGTGACTTATAGCAGTGCAAAATGCGTCAGTAAGCTCTCGCAAATCACTTTTAACTAAAGCACCAACGAGCGCCCATGGTTGCCATATCACCAAGACTTTTTTACGGCGGCATCATCTCGCCTGCTTCAAGTAAATTTCCTGAGTAAAGCAACTCGGGTTACACTCACTGGTGCATACTGTAGCTCCATTTGGCACCATCTCAGCATTCCTTTTAGCAGCAGTTTTCATTTTATTTTTAGGCTTGTACACAGGGATGGACCCATGACCTTACACCCATACTTTGTGATGTGATCATGGATTTTAAGCCTTCTGTAGTTGTCCTGATTAGTAACTCCTCTACGAAAAAGGATATAATTATGGAGGCACTCACTACACAATGCTAAAAATCACAGCTCTCATCCCTTTTAATGTATTGTCCTTGACTATTAACTTCTACTCATACTGTTACTTCTTTCAACTTTGATTTATTTTGGTTTGTGTCTGTGAATTCTCCGTCCAGCCAGGGTAAAGTCCCCACCTGTACAGACGGCTTGAGTCAGCTCTCAGTACAAAGTTGTCACTGGCTGAGGCCCAAGCTGCCAGTCTTGATCTCAGTGTAAATAAGCGCCACTAAACAGGCAAATGAGTCCCTCTCCTCACCCTCTATATGATATTACAGATAGTCAGGTAGTATTTCAGGTATCAGATCCCATATTGTTATTTTTGTAATGTGTTTACACAAGGTTCTCAGCCATTCCAGTCTTATGGTAAACTGCTCTGTCCAAGTCATGTCAGCATTTTAAGTGCAACTAGTCAAGGATTCAGTAACAGAAAACACAATTGGTGTGCTTTTAGGATGCACTTCCACTATGCTTAGCAGGTACATTAAATAAGCGATAAACTGTATATTAACCTATAGAGATATATAAGACGTGGCCTAAGCGGCAGTAGTAACTGTAGTGTCTACCTCATAGTTTAGCGGGTATTTGTGATGATGCCCGCCTGGGTGTTTAGCCACACTCCACGGGACGCTGTGTGTGCTTCCTGCAGCTCTGCCAGTGTCCCTTGGCACCTGTGGCCATACTCGGGCAGAGATAAGACATTCTGGCACCCTTTCCCCGCCACCACTACACACCGGTGATCATTGTGAAGAAGGGGAGAGACATGTGGTGGTGCTGCCCCCACACAGTGTCCTCAGTGTTGGGTAGCGTAGTGTAGACTGTAGCTATATTGTTAATGTAGTTAAGGCACCGGTAGTTGTTGTTGTTGTTGCAGCAGCGGTGGTGATGACTTGGTCCGAATTACTGAATGGTGATGAGAAGGTGATAAAGTACGTGTGCTGTGTGCACCGTGGTTAAACACAGCTGTGAGAGGCTGCATACACTCGCACGCCCGCACCACACGCCTGTGACAGCACGCCCTCCCATTTAACAGTACACCCCAGAGTAATGGAATTGAGTCAACCCATGACAATATAGAGTTTTTGTCTATGATATCTGAGCTAATCCCCGAGAAGTGACTGCCGAGTTACACCTTCAGCAAGAAGCAGCAGCCTAAATATCAAAGAGAGCCGGACCTCAACTCTCCATGTTTACCAGACAGCATCTATGCAAGAAGCAGATGGCAGGATGCGGTGGTGCGGCAGTGCATGGTGCCTCCGCAGCCAGTGAGGCCGGGACAGGTCAAGATGAAATCCTGACCAACCTGCTATGTTCTCAGCAATACCAAATACCCAGCCCGCGTCCAGCCTCAACCCCGAGCCAATATTCTCAAACCTATAGCCCAGAAACTATATTTATCCTGCTCATAGCCCTTAAAGTCTATATTTACTCAACCTATACCCCAGAAGTCTATATTTATCTAACCCATAGCTACAGAGATCTATAGATACCTAACCCACAATCCCAAAACTCTATATTTACCCAACCCATAGCCCCAGCCCACATTCTCCAAAGCCTATATTTATCCACTTCATAGCCCCCAGAGCTTATATTTACCCAACTCATAATTCAAAAGCCTCTATTTACCCAATCCACTAGCCTAAAAGTCAGTTTTCTAGCCCACAGGCCTAGTACCATTATGCTCTAACCTATCTCCCCAAAATGTCTATCCCCGCCTGATCCAGATAGTGGGGATGGACACTGCAACCTAACAGTATTTACCGCCAAGGAGTATTGACCCATCGCATAACCTACAGTCAATCAAGCAACCACGTCTTTCCATAGAAGTATTACTAGCCACATAGACTACCTATGAGGCTGGGGGCGTGCTGGGTAAGCCATGATGGTGCTGGGGTAGGCTAGTGTTTCCCCAGGAGATACTCTTGGGGAAGTTCAAGGTAGTGATCATACAATAAGACGAGATTTGTATGTCTCTAACCCATGGAAAATGACATAGGAAGTAAGTTATATTAATGGTTCTGTATAAGGTTACTCCTAGGGCTACTTATCTTCTAGGTTGGTAATGGCATACGTAGAGCCAAGGTTTGGTAGAGCGGTATTAGTGTCGGCTCTGCACAGTTGAATGTTGAATGAATGCTAAGTGTTAAACAAAAGAATGTTGTCATGGTTTTTTTGTTTCACATACGAATTACTAGTTTTAGGTTACCATTAGTTAATCAGTTAAGTTATGGTAATTTAATTTAAGCCTAACTGATATTACTTTTTTATATTTGTTGGTATTACAACTGTTATTTTACCGAATTAGCAACAATGCCTATTTTTATAGATTAAGTTTACAAGTTCCTAGATTTTAGACATGTCAAGCTCAAAGGTGTCAGGAGGGGAGCCTGCTCGTCTGGCCAAGACAAATATATTTATCCATGATAGAAGAATGCTATGTTACCAGGACAATAGGTCCATATCTGCACACATTTTATATGTTTTATATATAGTTAAATCCCTTACTTTAATCCAAGTATCGAAATGGGAGTGATTATATTTACTAAGGTGACTGAGACGCCTGGCTGTGAGGAGCAAGCTCCTCAACCTTCCCTTCCACCTTACCCAGTGATCATTGTCCGAATTGTGCAGCTTCCGGTGTTTATAATTTGCTACATTACCAGGCCTTGTGGTGGCCGCCAAGATAACTAACGTGCCAAGCATCCGTTATTGATAGTTTTATATACAATGATTTCTGTTCTTTTTATCTTCTGTCTGTTGATAGAGACCAACAGTGGTAACAAGATTTTGCGAGTCTGGTCGGCTTCCTGTTGCCAGTAATGGTGGAGGTCAGGAACCTTCATATAATTAAGTGTTGGAATTTTTCAGAATGTAGCTTATATTGTTTAATACAAATTTTATTGTATAATTACCATAAGTGTAGGGGAGTGAGTGAGCCAGGAAGCCGCCCTCCCCCTCCCACCAACTGATCAACACACTGCACAGTACTGAGGTACATAATACTCCAGCTTCCGCAGCCTCTGTGCCCACATTACCACCCATTTATTTCACACTGCTTGAGTCACTACCAAACTTCCAGGCTTAGACCCACGCCTAACACTTATGGCTCTTCAATGCTCAATTAACAATGAGAGTTACAAAATTCATTAACTCACAACTAAGTCAGGAACCGGAAAAGAAGCAAGAAGACGTTACAATCTGTTCTGAACCATTATCGAACGTTGACCTAGTAATGGTCAGGTAGACAGTCACAAACACCGATAAGTGGGAATAAAGATAAGAGTAGCAAAGAATCCTTTTGATAAAGCTCAGTCCTGGGCGAAACGTTGTACAACAAGTATTCTCTGCTGCCACTGTCCTCATTCCCACTAAATAATGTAATATCATCAAGCCTGGCGACGTTATAATGGTCCAAGATGAATCAGAACAGCTTCTAGTCTTATTCTATTTGTAACTGGCTTATTGTAAAACAAAAACAATCAATCACGGTATGACTTCTTTTATTCTAAATCTGATGTTCATTACAATAAGTGCAAATGAGCGCGGTACAGCTATGCTGGAGTCAAGGGAGGCTAGAACTGTGCTGTGTGTTGAGCAGGTTACGTGGTACTACTGTACAGTGATGTGTGTACGTAGAATGATACTGTGCAGCTTGAATGATATTGTGCATATAGGATGGTACTGTACTGAGCAAGTAGGAGGTTACTGCATAGCCAGCGCAGCTAGGATGTTCTGAGCATTAATAGTTATCCTGTGAACTGATAGTCAGCAGTGCCAAGATTTTGAAATGGAGGCGAGTTTATCCGAATTACCTTAGTGCTTAATAACTGTGTGAAGTTAGAGGCGTGTCCCCAGGACATGTGTCAACTTCGATTCTTGTCAGTGATGTAAGTGCCATTGATGATTAGCAAGTAGAGGCTAACAACTTAAACAGGGTGTTCTTTAGTATGCCCACTAAAACAGGGTGTTCTTTAGTATGCCCACTAAAACAGGGTGTTCTTTAGTATGCCCACTAAAACAGGGTGTTCTTTAGTATGCCCACTAAAACAGGGTGTTCTTTAGTATGCCCACTAAAACAGGGTGTTCTTTAGTATGCCCACTAAAACAGGGTGTTCTTTAGTATGCCCACTAAAACAGGATGTTCTTTAGTATGCCCACTAAAACAGGGTGTTCTTTAGTATGCTCGCTAAAGCAGGATGTTCTTTAGTATGCCAGCTAAAACAGGGTGTTTTTTTTTCAATAAATCAAGTAGATAATATAACTGAGAAGTAGTATTGAAGGCCAGTGTTGAGAAGAATGGCGATATACTGCTGATCTGGTGACAGTATTTGTGAGCAGCATCTATGAGGCGCAATCTGCTCATTCCTGGCAATGCATTCTGACTCGATCTCAGAGATTTATTGAAACCACGTTGACGATGGTTCACAACAGACCGAAATAATGTCTAGCGTTATCTCTGATTATTTTTTTTTGCGAGCGTGTTGGGGGCATCTTAAAGAAGTCAAGTCAGTAAATCGAGTCTAGGAGTAAGTCCTAGTGATAGAGTGGGTCCCAGACATCATGAAAGATGGTTGTATTGACATCATGAAAGATGGTTGTAGTGACATGAAAGATGGTTGTAGTGACATCATGAAAGATGGTTGTATTGACATCATGAAAGATGGTTGTAGTAACACCATGAAAGATGGTTGTAGTGACATGAAAGATGGTTGTAGTGACATCATGAAAGATGGTTATAGTGACATCATGAAAGATGGTTGTAGTGACATCATGAAAGATGGTTGTAGTAACACCATAAAAGATGATTGTAGTAACACCATAAAAGATGGTTGTAGTGACATGAAAGATGGTTGTAGTGACATCATGAAAGATGGTTGTAGTGACATGAAAGATGGTTGTAGTGACATCATGAAAGATGGTTGTAGTGACATGAAAGATGGTTGTAGTGACATCATGAAAGATGGTTGTAGTGACATGAAAGATGGTTGTAGTGACATCATGAAAGATGGTTGTAGTGACATCATGAAAGATGGTTGTAGTGACATGAAAGATGGTTGTAGTAACACCATGAAAGATGGTTGTAGTAACATCATAAAAGATGGTTGTAGTAACATCATAAAAGATGGTTGTAGTGACATCATGAAAGATGGTTGTAGTGACATCATGAAAGATGGTTGTAGTGACATGAAAGATGGTTGTAGTAACACCGTGAAGGCTACTGCTTCACGACTAACTCCCTACTCTGTCTTCACGTTTATATCTCGTGGACGAAACATGTTGATAAATGAGACACTTGTGCAACATTTGGATATCTTTATTCTGGAAACGTTTCGCCAGCCAGTGACTTCTTTAGTCCAGTGCAGAGGAAGGTGGAAGATGAGGAGGAGTTTGAGTCAATGTGTTCAGTCCATCATGACAGATGTGTTCAGTTCATCATGACAGATGTGTTCAGTCCATCATGATTGATGTGTTCAGTCCATCATGACAGATGTGTTCAGTCCATCATGACATGTGTTCAGTCCATCATGACAGATGTGTACAGTCCATCATGACAGATGTGTTCAGTCCATCATGACAGATGTGTTCAGTCCATCATGATTGATGTGTTCAGTCCATCATGATTGATGTGTTCAGTCCATCATGACAGATGTGTTCAGTCCATCATGACAGATGTGTTCAGTCCATCATGATTGATGTGTTCAGTCCATCATGACAGATGTGTTCAGTCCATCATGATTGATGTGTTCAGTCCATCATGACAGATGTGTTCAGTCCATCATGACAGATGTGTTCAGTCCATCATGATTGATGTGTTCAGTCCATCATGACAGATGTGTTCAGTCCATCATGATTGATGTGTTCAGTCCATCATGGCAGATGTGTTCAGTCCATCATGACAGATGTGTTCAGTCCATCATGATTGATGTGTTCAGTCCATCATGACAGATGTGTTCAGTCCATCATGATTGATACGTTCAGTCCATCCTGACAGATGTGTTCAGTCCATCATGATTGATGTGTTCAGCCCATCATGACAGATGTGTTCAGTCCATCACGACAGATGTGTTCAGTCCATCATGATTGATGTGTTCAGTCCATCATGACAGATGTGTTCAGTCCATCATGATTGATGTGTTCAGTCCATCATGACAGAGTGTTTAGTCCATCATGATTGATGTGTTCAGTCCATCATGACTGATGTGTTCAGTCCATCATGACAGAGTGTTTAGTCCATCATGACTGATGTGTTCAGTCCATCATGACAGATGTGTTCAGTCCATCATGACAGAGTGCTTAGTCCATCATGATTGATGTGTTCAGTCCATCATGACTGATGTGTTCAGTCCATCATGACAGAGTGTTTAGTCCATCATGATTGATGTGTTCAGTCCATCATGACAGATGTGTTCAGTCCATCATGACAGAGTGTTTAGTCCATCATGACTGATGTGTTCAGTCCATCATGACAGATGTGTTCAGTCCATCATGACAGATGTGTTCAGTCCATCATGACTGACGGACTGAACACATCGACTCAGTCTTCCTCAAACTCCTCCCCGGATATTCCATCTCCTCTGCACTGGACTAAAGAAGTCACTGGCTGGCGAAACGTTTCCAGTCTAATCATTTATCAACTTATCGGTTCTCTAAACCATTCATTCACGAAACATGTAACAAGTTCAATAACTTAGCAATGTTTAGTGTTCCATTACAACTTACTCTGAGGAAGATAAACATCGACATTCCTAGTATTCAATCTATACCATAGGAATAATCGGAAGAATATGTTCTGGTACTATGAATAATATAATGATCTTAGCACATAGCTCACTGAGTGGTCGCTGAATCATAACATCAGTTATATCAAGAAATTTTGAAGATGTATACATACATGCTATGTGTAGACTATAATGTCAAGTACCACACGAGCCGGGCTCAGAAAGTAGAGAAACTCTCGAAACTATTCAAAGGTTTCAAAGGTATATCAAAGGTATATGCTGTAGTCAAATATCTCAGGCCTAGAACATCGTTTGAGTAAAATATCTAAGTCACTTATAAGTTTGAAGCCTAATGTTGTAACAACATAGGTTTACACTTCACTCATCGGTTGTAACTACGAGAAAATTCGGTGTAATGATATAAGTTGCGTAAGATTACGATTTCGTATTATTTACTTTTTTTTCAATTTTAGAGTTTTTTTTTTTTAATATATAAACAAAATGAACGTGTGGACTCGAGTAATGTTCTAGGTCAGATGTTGACTCCTGAACCTTCACATTCAATCCTCCTGATTCACAATACTTGATCCTTCTCCGTAACACTCGATCATCTTCCACAATACTCGATCCTCCTTCACAGTACTCGATCCTCTCCACAATACTCGATCCTCCTTCACAATACTCGATCCTCTCCACAATACTCGATCCTCCTTCACAATACTAAATCCTCCTCCACAATACTAGATCCTCCTCCACAATACTCGATCCTCCTCCACAATACTAGATCCTCCTCCACAATACTCGATCCTCCTCCACAATACTAGATCCTCCTCCACAATATTAGATCCTCCTCCATAATACTCGATCCTCCTCCACAATACTCGATCCTCCTTCACAATACTCGATCCTCCTCCACAATACTCGATCCTCTCCACAATACTCGATCCTCCTCCACAATACTAGATCCTCCTCCACAATACTCGATCCTCCTCCACAATACTCGATCCTCTCCACAATACTCGATCCTCCCCCACAATACTAGATCCTCCTCCACAATACTCGATCCTCCTCCACAATACTAGATCCTCCTCCACAATACTAGATCCTCCTCCACAATACTCGATCCTCTCCACAATACTAGATCCTCTTCCACAATACTCGATCCTCAACAATACTTGATCCTCCTCCACAATACTAGATCCTCCTCCACAATACTCGATCCTCCTCCACAATACTCGATCCTCCTTCACACTGATCTTGTGATGCTCAGACCCTCGAGTCTTCATCTTAGGACTACTTCAACGTTTATCTACCGACACTGAAAAACAAAACACTGCCTAAAGTGATGCTCTTGAGACCAACTAAAGGTTCCTCTAATGTCATGAATTATTGCAGATGAAAGTATTCATCACACTGAAGTTTTTTAATGTCCCTCACAAAACGTACTCTTTCTTCTATACCCAAAGCTCGATTTAAATCGAACAAAACTGGAAAAATGTAACTCTGAGTTAAATGAAACATTAGCCATGATGCAGCAAAACAAAAATATATGCACTTGTTAATGCCTTAGACTTGTATAAACGATATATATATATATTATATATATATATATATATATATATAATATATATATATATATATATATATATATATATATATATATATATATATATATATATATATTACACCATCTGCTTAGAAGAAAAGTAGCACGATAAATTAAGAAAATTATGATTTGCAAAATCAGTTTGACGTATGTCCATAACTTCACTTTAGTATGATTCAGATTTATATTAGACAGCATCTGCACGTCCTAAATAAGGCAGCCTTCTGGGCTCTCAAGCCTCTAAATTGCTACTCATTTACAAATGATTGGCTTGCTGTCACAAAAGTGACGAAAAAAATATATATCAATGTGCTCCTAAGTCACACCAAATTATTTGATAAATTCCATTTCAGAATCTTGAAGGATTTTGTGTGTAGATGAGACTAGAATCAGTACAGAACCCGTGCTGGTGTCCCGGTCAAGCAAATAGTTGTCTTCACCGGGGATGTAATGGCTGGTCTCCCGTGACATAGTGAATGCTCTCACTAGGAGTAAGATAACTGGCCTCCAGTAAGCTAGTGTTCGCTCCCACCGTGGATACGACTACCTTTAGTGACCTTGTTTGGCATCATTGGTGGACTATAGTAACCTGACCTCGCGTACACCGCCAGCGGGGACCTGGTGACTGATCTCGTTGTTAATATGTCTTGCTGTGTTCGTTAGTGATAGGCAAGGGTAACCCCTGTACAGTGGACACCGCTTTAACCCGACACGCTTGGTAGGAGTCACGTTAGTGCGGTAAAGCCGTACTCAGATATCTAATCATTTCTATTAGTGTGTAGGAAAGAAGGTGAGAGGCGCTTTTGACTCCCATACTGGTAGAGCTGCTCGCAACACGTTTTATACAATACAAGCGAGACATCTGGAAGCGGTGTCTCCTGTGCCATAGTCCAACCATCTACCTCGTCCACAACCCGGTACCTCATAGCCCAGATACAAGCCCAGTAGCCGAGTAGTGGGGTTACAACCAGTAGTTCCTTACTCAATACTATGATTCCTAATGTCTCCTGATGGCCCAGTCTAGCCTATAGCCTGCCATAGCCCAGTTCCCCTGGTAGTAAAAACAAGTTACCCCTCGCCCGCCTCCCAGTTGCCTCCACTAGTGTAGTCAGGGTCCAGCTGCGTCCCATTTAGTCAGACCAGCACACGGTCTGTACTCCAAACCAAACCTCAGCCAACCTTTGCCTTCCTAATTGTATCGTAATTTAAAACAAAGCAGCCAAGCTTCATTCATAGTGCCATATCTCATGCCTACTTCTGTTTATTCTTGGGTACCGTCTTGAACAAGAGTGCATTCATTAACATATTTTTCTCCCAGAGCATATCTTGGCCATCATCTCTAGTTCGTCTACAAACAGGAGTTGACTGACCCCCATGTATCATATATCATATTGTTCATAATCAATAGTCTTAATAGATTATTCAAGCCATATTATATCCTGCCTCAATAGTACATAGTTACAGAATCCATATACCAACTTTTATTACCAAGTAATATCCACATGAATCCAACGTCCACTGCCTCTCCCTTGTATTTTCCTAGTTACGATTTCTGAAATACCTGTAAATCGTCACTCAGTCACTATTTCTGCTATTGAAAAAACAACCAATCAAAGCTTAAAGAGTGAAAAAAGACACGTTTTGTGCTATTTTAGATTTCTGGTCTCAGTTACTTGCTGATTAAGCATTATCAGCTGAAAAACTAGATTTGGAAAGACTCATGTAACTGTGACTTGTTGTTTGATACTCGATGATAGCGGAACAACCGGGACACCAGCTTATACAAGTCAGTTGATAATAGGGTTATTCGCTGCCGATGGATCATTTGAGTGTGAAGTTGAACATAGTTGGAAAACGATGGGGTTAAACATTAGTCCGTGCAAGCTTGATGTTGGTAAATATATCACAGCTCCTGTTCTTTGGCCTTGTATTATATCACTATCACGAATTATCACAAACTTTTTCACTCTGTACTTGATTAAACTGTGATTATGAATAAATTTCTAAGTAAATTAACTTGACCTCAGATGACCAAAATGGCAGCATCAAGCAAATCCTTGATCCCTCCTGTGCTTGACCCTGTCTCCCCGTCCCATGGTGGCTCTCCTACCTCCCCGGCCCATGGTGGCCCTCCCACCTCCCCATCCCATGGTGGTACTCCCACTTCCTCGTCCCATGGTGGCCCTCCCACCTCCCCATCCCATGGTGGTACTCCCACTTCCTCGTTCCATGGTGGCCCTCCCACCTCCCCATCCCATGGTGGTACTCCCACTTCCTCGTCCCATGGTGGCACACCCACCTCCCCATCCCATGGTGGCGCTCCCACTTCCTCGTCCCATGGTGTCACACCCACCTCCCCATCCCATGGTGGCACTCCCACTTCCTCGTCCCATGGTGGCACACCCACCTCCCCGCCCCATGGTGACCCTCCCCCCTCCTCGTCCCATGGTGGCCCTCCCTAAGTCCTTGTCCCGTGCTATTGTATAACTTCAACGAACCTTCAATAACATTTCTGATAATAGTTCCGTCCTAAGGCTTAAAATTATCTACTTTTGCCGTTCTGCACATCCTACCCTCTTCAGCAATCTCATGCATCTGATCTTACATTCACTCTACTTAATTAATAATTCATGTTCTATTCACAACCAAAGATTAATGAAAGCAAAAATTAGGGGAAATTCCATTATTTCTGCCTTTTATCGCCTTGGCTTATCACTTCACTGTTATTATTAAGTGCTAAACCCGTAAGGGTCACAGCGCTGCCCAACTATCAAGAGTAACAAAGTCATAGGTTTTTAACTGCTGGTCCTCTCGAGGAGCACCTTGATGCTGGTGAAGGCTCTTGATTCTAGGAAGTGGAGCTACCAGACCTTCCTCGGATCAAAACTGATTTCCTCCCATCCCCCAGGGGGCTCTAGGACGCTTACAGTTTAAAATACTTTCTTTCTGAATATGGTTAGTTATAATTGCTTAGTCTTCAGCACTTCCTTTATCCAATTCTTGTCATTTCCTTTAAAAATAATGATTATCAAAACTAAGCTCTAAATCTTCAAAAGATGCTTCAAGTTTTTTCAATTGCTATGTTTTTACCTTATTTTTACCTTCAGCACATTTTTTTTTTTTTTTGAGAAAATAGTAATAATCTATCGTTTTCATGGTCAATACTGAACCAAGTTTTTCTTTCTCCCCTGATATTCTTAATCATTTTTTAAAATAGCTCTACCCCCTCTACTCACCTCGATTACATCCATGTCTTGCCCCTGTCAACACACAACTATGGATAGCCTTGCCTATGGCCCATTATTTCCCTTTAAATTGAAAACAGCCTTCCCAAGACCCAACCAGTCCTGCTAAGACTACAATGTCTTCAGCTTGTAACCCTCGCCACCCATGTTCCCTTCCTTCTCAGCTCGCTGTATCATTTACTGTACCTGTGCACTTATTTCTCTATCGTGCGACGACTCTAGCTCCTCGTCGGTGCGTTGTATCGTGCCTCAGGTAGTTCAGTCAGCTGATGTGTAGCATTAAGGAAATGTAACAAAATTGGTGGTGAGAACGACCTGCGGCCACCGAGTGTGTTGGTCTTAAACGCCTGACTCTGCTTAGTTAAAATTCCTGCAAAGACTCATTGTCCGCGGGTAGCTGAACTGGTAAATTATTGATCGAGAATACACAAAAGCAGGCGAATTATGATTAACTCTGTCAGGGTTTAACACCAATGCAAGAATCTCAAAGAGTGAGCAGGTACTGCTTCACACTGATCGAAAAGTGACACGTAAAGTCCGGGTTCACCCTGTGATTGTGTAAAAGTTTAGATATTTATCAAAATTGTCTATTGCAATTGTAATTTCTAATTAACTTAGTCTCGAAGATAAATTAAGTAATAAATGGTACACATCCTAGACTCTACGTTCTTTTCAGCACAAATTAAAAAAAAAGTGTAACTAGACAAGACTCCAAGAGCCAGGCCCATAATTGTGTTAACAGGCTTCCAGTAGAGGGCCTACACAGGTTTAAGTCCTGTTTACTGCCTAAAACACTATGCACGTCACTCTTAGAGCAAGCAAACACCAATAATTTATATATATATATATATATATATATATATATATATATATATATATATATATATATATATATATATATATATATATATATAATATATCACAAAACAACTGTAGACAGGAGATCTTAACAATGCAAAACAAGCCACAGGGGGTGGAAATCTTTAGCTCAAGTACTTTCACACTTTTCAGTGCATCATCAGGAGCTGTGCAATGTTGCAAGGGCAGCAAGAGGAGAAATAGGGTAAGCTTTTTCAGAGTACGGTAGCGCGGTGGCAACAGCCAATGTGACTCATATTGGCTGTTGCCACCGCGCTACCGTACTCTGAAAAAGCTTACCCTATTTCTCCTCTTGCTGCCCTTGCAACATTGCACAGCTCCTGATGATGCACTGAAAAGTGTGAAAGTACTTGAGCTAAAGATTTCCACCCCCTGTGGCTTGTTTTGCATTGTTAAGATCTCCTGTATAATATATATATATATATATATATATATATATATATATATATATATATATATATATATATATAATATATATATATATATATATGCAATAAGATCACAGTAAACAGGTGATTTCAGAATATGCAAAACAACCACTCTGAAAGAATAGAGAAATTCCAAGCGCTTTCGTGACTACTCACATTATCAAGGAACTATGATAGTTCCTTGATAATGTGAGTAGTCACGAAAGCGCTTGGAATTTCTCTATTCTTTCAGAGTGGTTGTTTTGCATATATATATATATATATATATATATATATATATATATATATATATATATATATATATATATATATATATATATATATATATATATATATTATAATGCCTACACCCATCATTCTTCTGTTTTCAGCAAACAGCATTAGATATTCATTATAATTAAAATACATGTAGTTTTCT